TTTTTAATAATTTTTTTATAATTTTTTTTATAAATTATCAAAAAAATACAAATATATTTTGAAATAATATATTATAATAAAAAATAATAAGATATTTAAACTTTTTTATTTAAAAAAAAATTATTTATTATTATATACTTTTATTTATTATTAACAGGTATCTGCTGCAGAAGATGGTCATTGCATTTGGTATGGAGAATGTTACACAGATAAGTTCAACATGCATAAAAAAAATTGCCCTTATATTGGACCAGCCAAATTATTGGATAATAATGGACAAAAATTATTAGCTAAAAATTGTCCTCATTTAATGATTGATTCTGGAAATGGAATTAACACTTGTTGCGATACAAATCAATTACAAACAATGGATACAAATATTAAGCTGGCATCTAATTTTTTATCCAGATGCCCTAGTTGTTTGGATAATTTAGTAAAACATTTTTGTGAATTTACTTGTAGTACACAACAAAGCAAATTTATTAATGTTACTGAAATAGGGAAAGAAAATGGTAATTTAAATTATTTTTTTAATTTTAATTTTATTTTTTATTTTTTTATAATTTTCTCATTTCTCACTTTAAAATAAGTACTTGCAATATATATTAAATAATAATATTTTTAAATTTTTAGAAATAGAATACATCAATGGAATAAATATTTATATAACAGATAAATATATTGAAGGTACATTTAATTCGTGTAGTAAAGTATCAGTACCTAGTACTGGACAATTAGCAATGGATTTAATGTGTGGAATATGGGGAGCTAGTAGATGTACTGCATGGAAATGGTTTCATTATATGGGCGATGCAGCAAATAATGTATATGTACCATTTCAAATTACATATATAAATACTGATGAACCAATAGATTCATTTATTCCTGTAGATCCTAAAGTCACACCTTGTAATAAGGCATTAAATGTAAGTATTTGTTTTTGCAATTCTTTCTAAAGGATATATAAATGAAAAAATTTGATTTTTTTTCTGGATTAATGGAATTTATTTATTATATTTCATGTAATTAGAAAAATATGCCAGCATGCAGTTGTGTAGACTGCGAAGCCAGTTGTCCAGTGCCTCCACCAATTCCTCCTTTACCAAGACCTTCTACTATTTTTGGTTATGATAGTTATGCTGTAATAATGATCATTACTTTTGTCTGTGGTTCAACTCTCTTCATCTTGTCAATAGTGTGCTTCAGTAATAGGAAACAAATTGGTAAGAAAAATCAGTTATTATTTAATAATATTTATTCAGATAAAACTCATAATTTTTTATTTATTTTAAGGAGAAATTGTTAAATTTCTAACTATATTACACAACTTGCTATGTAAAATTCATCTCTTTTCCTTAAACTTTGTACCATATTTTATTCAGTAATAATTTACATAATATTCTTTTTACATCAGTGACTAATTTTATATGTAATTTACATTGTTTTAAAAAATATAAGTACAATTCAATTTCAAATTATTTTAATGTTTGATCCATATCATTGATTTTCCTTGGTTATAGGATCATTTTTATTGTTGTGTTATTTCTATATTACTTTTCTCTTTGGTTATGGTTTTAAAAATTAATTTTATAAATTTTGCATTATGCTTGTAGTTTGATAAACACTTGAATTTTTTATTTCCTTTTTGTTGCAAAGCACTTATATAATATGATAATTAAAAACAACAGGAAAGCAAATATCAAATTATTTGAAAATAATTATTTCATTATCAAGTGAATATATTGCAATAAAAAATAGAACTAAAACTATTGATTTCTCTTTACTATATTTTTTTTTTCATATGATGAATGTAGTATCATGAATGTATAAAATAATAAATTGTATAAAATTGAAGAGATTTGATTTAGAATCACCAATTGTGTGTATGGTGTGCGTATATGTATAGTTGCACGAGGTGAGGAAGTAGGAAGGCAGGTGGGTAGACGCCTAGCCGCAGGGTTACATCACCCAGGAGATGGTGCGCGTATTGCTCTCGCCGCTGACCAAGAAGACAGCCCACTTCAATCTAAGCGTTCCAGTAGGTTCCTATCAACTGTATCTTCAATCTGTGGATTTGTGCTTGACCTTTAATTTCTGTTTTGTTATTGTATTTACTTTTATTCTTACATTATGCTTAATCATCATTTTTTTCATTTGTGTTTCATTGTTTTTTCATAAAAGATTTATTTCTTATTATTATCATTTATCATTTATCATCATTATCTTTGTTCAAATTTTCACACATTAATATATTTTAAAATATATATGTCCAGAATGCAGGAACATATTTTTAAAAAAAGGAGAAAAATTAAATAAATTAATTAAATCTTATTAAAATTTATTATATCAAATGTTATAAATATTACATAAATACATAGCATATATGTTACTTATTAGGAACTTTTATATTTATGATCAATATTCATTTCATGAATGTGCAGAATAACTTAATTTAAATTTAATTTAATATATATTTATATTATATTTTATATTTATTTATATATATTTATTTTTTTTTTAATTATTTATTTTATTCTTTTAATATTTTAATAGAAATATACAAAACATTATAGTTATTTTATTTAGTACTCTTCATATTTTAAACACAAAATTACTAAATATATAAATTAATCATTGTATGCTTTTTTTTATTTTTATATTAAATAAAATGCTGCTCTGTCATAAAATTTATATGTTATTTTGTTGCAATTCTTTTATTCTTCACAATTGAATGTATAGTTGCTTAATGTATCTATTTACAGCACATCGTCTACAATTTATTTCACTTACTGCAGCACTTTTTTGGACATATACATTTTAATATTCTCTTATTCATAACATAAAAACTTTTATAGGTGTGATATCTGCAGATGATTTGCCGAGCGGTTTCGATGATGAAGAACAATCAACTTTTATCGAAAGATTAGGTGCAGGCACAGATAAATTATTAGCGGAATTTTTTTGTCGATGGGGTACAGGTATGAGAGTACTCTTTTGGTAATTTTATATGACATTACAAATTATATTAATAGTTTTTAATTTTTTTTCAGCTTGCGCGTCACGGCCATGGTTTGTCCTTTTTCTTGGTTTTCTATTTATTATTGGTTTGGGACATGGAATAAAATATATACATGTTACCACTGATCCAGTTGAATTATGGGCTGCTCCACAATCTCGATCACGAGTTGAAAAAGAATATTTTGATCAACATTTTGAACCGTTTTATAGAACTGAGCAAATTATTATAACATCGGTTGGTTTGCCGAATGTAAGTTTTGATGCCAGTTAAAGAGAAAGAATTAAATTGTTTTTTAATAATATACAAGAATCATAATATCATATTGATAACTTTCAGATTGTACATAATACATCTAATGGTCAAATTACATTTGGTCCAGTATTTAATGCTACTTTCCTAAAAACTGTTTATAAGTTACAAGAAGAAATAAAACAAATAACAACTCCGAATAATTATACTTTAGCAAATATATGTTTTGCTCCACTAACCAGTCCATTTACTGGACCACCAACAGCATCACAATGTGTTATTCAAAGCATTTGGGGATATTGGCAAGATAGTATAGAAACTTTTGATTTTTCTACCACAGATGATGATAATTTTACTGTAAATTATTTAGATCATTTCATCGTTTGCTCGCAGTAAATTGATTTGTATATATAATATTATAAAAAATTATTAGATAATTGAGCTAACAAGATTTTATTCTTTTTTATTTTCAGAAACGCATATAATCCTGAATGTCTTGCACCTTATGGTGGTCCTATAGAACCAGCAGTTGCAGTTGGTGGATTTTTATCACCAGGTCAAGATCTTCATAATCCTTCATATGAAAAAGCCACAGCAGTAATTTTGACCATATTAGTTAATAATTATCATAATAAATCTAAATTGCATCCAGCAATGGAATGGGAAAAAAGGTATATAAAATATATGATGTAAAAATCTATTCAATATTTATTATTGATAATTAAAGTAAATAATATTATAATTATAGTTATATTGAATTTATGAAAAATTGGACAACGATGAAAAAACCAGAATTTATGGATATTGCCTTTACTTCAGAACGATCGATAGAAGATGAATTAAATCGTGAATCTCAGTCAGATGTTTTAACAATTCTTGTATCGTATATTATTATGTTTGCATATATTGCGATTTCTCTTGGTCAAATTAAAAACTGCAGTCGACTTTTGGTAAAAATGATAAAATAAAATAAAATATACTCATATATATTTATCT